TGTCGAAGCATCCGCCCCTTAACCTAACACCAACTTACTGTTTCCTATACGTAAGGAAGAAAATGTGGGATGAGCTCGAAGTCACGGTGTTGTAGCATCCGCTCTCCAAGCACTCTATTTACCTACCCACCAATTCACTGCTTCACCAAAAGAATGAAGTGTAGGATAGAGCTAGGTTTTCCATATCACTACCTTTATCGTACTCATACTTCTCGGACGGACAGACATACAAACCGACAAACCGACAAACCGACAAACCTACAAACCGACACACCAAGTTACTGCTTTATAAATAAGAAGGATGGTTGCAATTAAACTGACTAATTGGCATCGTTCATACTCTGCGATATCGCTAAGTCGTAGAATGCGGTAATGCGGAGTAGATAAGTATTGACTTGTTCACCACGCTCTCTCACTTTCAATTACAATTACACATTTTCTTCGCGATTCCACAATCTTTCGAATATTCTTTTTTCTGCGAATTTCTTGAACCACTGTGCGTGGAGATGTCCAATACCAAATCGGGGTCGTAAGGAATAGTTGGAATGAATTGAATAAACAATTTATAATTGGAAATCACATTGAGACTAATTTTGCTTTCCACTGGATCATGAGAACAGCCTCTGTCAATACAAGATAACAACCTTCGAAGTTGGGAACGTCTTCAAAAATGTTTTCAACCTCCTCTAGAGTGACTAGGGAAAGTAACATGAAGGACATTTTACATTTCATTTCATAGTTGTGAGTTTCGTTTTTCTTTGTGGATCTATTATTCAGTTCTCAACTTTATTGATTCAAAGTTCAAGGTTCACCATGCGATGAATTGACGGGGTTCGACAGAATTTTCGAAGACCAACTGGCGAACCTTGCTATATCGGATACCAAATACAGGGCGTTGAGGTTAGTTCCTTATTATTCCTGTCCTACGGTTTTGCCAACCGTCATGTTCTCTGAGCCGTTGTACCTTTTGACTGTAGGTCAATTGACGAACTTGATCGAAGACTCGCTGATAATCTGCGTCTGATGAAGCATGACCGTCTTCTACCAATGCAGGCTCATGCAATATCTATAATACTGGATCGTAAGTGATTTTGTACGTGAGCATTCGATGCAGCAGCTCAAGATCTCTTTGAGGCGCCAAGTTAGTTGTACGGGCACCGACAGGTAGTGGTAAAACAGCTGCCTTCTTGATTCCAGCTGTCCAACTTGTCATTCAACATCATGAAAGGTGCACCAGGTCCGAAACTTGAATGTCGAAAAATCATGCCATGTCATTGTGAATTCACCCCAACTGTATTATTCATAAACAATTTTGTCAGGAGAACGGAACTCCCACTGGTTCTCATCCTTGGCAATACGCAAAACCTAATGGAACAAACATTCAAATTCGCGTGTTCAATGGCCGGTTATGAGCCAGACACCAAAGGTTGTGACTGCTTAATTATATTGGCTCATTTTAGTTTCATCTTAAGTTCTCTCTAGCTGCAGAATTTTTTTATTGTTTTTATCCGGATTCGACACACTAAGTGAATGGGTTGGGTTGATCTTATTGGTATGATCTTATTCGTGCCGAATAGGCAAGGAGTAATGACAGGGTGTTAGTGAGGCACTCCAATTTCAACAAGAAAAGGCGAATGGCACGCCGGGCGATCTGCACGTAAACTGGCGCAACAGACTATTAGCAGCTTCCCTTTTGTTTGGCAGGTTACTATTGTCCTAATCCGTCGCAATCATGAGAAATACATCTTATGCAACACTGTTTGATACTTCTATTTCAGATTTCAGTCGATATATTTTCAGTAGCACGAACTCAAGTGAGAATACTAGATTTGTTTGGGGGTGGATCTGGTTTTGTTCGACTGAGGAACACTGTCTCAATAGAGCAAGAAATTGTCATTGCTACATGTGGTGGGGTATTACGAGCCTGCGAGTTGGGAAAGGTTAGTTCTTCCATCAGAAGAAGAGGTTAATGCTGAAGATCAGAAAACTGAAAAGCTACGAGGAACAAAAAAAAATTCAGCTGAACCTGTCGGAACTTCAACTTCTTGTCATCGACGAAGCTGACAAAATGACCGATTCTTTACGAGGTTTCGGCTTTGAAGTCTCAGAAATTCTATCCAGGATTCCTGAGAAAACAAGGGTTAGTTGATAGATCTCTTCCTGCTGTTTCTTTCGTTGTTCGAACATTTTTGTTAGTTACCAGTTTCCGATTATTGACCACTGAGTATTGCAGGAAAAACTACAAGTAGTGGAGCTATCCGCCACTTTTAGTGAAGAAGATAATAATGTGATGCTTTCTGAATTGGAAAGGGAGCTTTTCGGGTATGATGCTTTTGACAGTTCAGACCACTAATGAAATTGTGTGTTTGAAATGCCTTATAAATCTTCTGGGTACTAGGAATGTCTTATTCAGTCACTAGTCGTAGGTAGTTTGCTGAGTGATGACTTCCGCATCGTGAACAACAACTAAAACATCAATTTTTCGGCTTTTCTTAGGACAAAATAACCACAGCATTAAAGTTAGATCAGATCAAGATAGTAGTCTTTCCTCGCCACAACGTCTTTCCATCAACCGGACAGGGCACAGATGCTACTCCTTCAGAAGGAAGAGAGGAGCGACGCAATCAGTTCATTTACTATCTAATTGACTTCGTGACGATTGTTTAATTTTTTCCTTTAGCGCAGGCCTGTAGGTTTGTGAAAGTGTGGCATCCATATGGGTTCAGGTCAGATGAGTGGGGTAGTTAGGTTATATCAAGCCTTTCCAGCTCATCTATAGATGTCTTCGTGTGGGGTGGACGGGCACTATCCATTGCAATCAAAATTTTCCCTGTAATCTGGTTGAAACTAGGGCTGAAAACACCATTTCTCTCAGTTGTTAACAGAACACTCTTGCGTTTACCGCAGCACACTCTGATCGGCTGTCATAGTAAAACACCCGGTTGAGCAAAGGAGGAATGAGCACATGCCCTTCTTGGGGTGAGCGCCTCGCTTTGTAGCGAACTGTGGCCTCATGTCCACTGTTAGGCATTGCGATTTCCTGTATGGATTTTCGATGACATCTACTTTTTACCCTGACTAATAATGAAGTCAGTTGATGTCATCGTTCGCTTACTTCGAGGGGTTTCTGACACGCGCTGACTCGCCCTCGACACTCTTACTCAGTCAAGGAGTGTCAATAATTGCAAACAGTCCTGCTTCGAAAATGACTTTTGCGTAGAACGTCATGGATGATGAATTGGGGAAATGAGATCGTCTTTCTGTTTCCTAGCACTTTGAGATGAATAGTTCTGAAGGGAGGCCGAAACAGTGTCGGTATTTTTGAACAGTGAACGTCCGCCACGACGAACCGTGAAGAAATCTTGTCTCACAGTCAGTAAAAGCGATCGTGTCGTTTATAATAGGTGACGAGAGTTCCGTTCGTAGAATTTTTTATTCTTCATTCAATACGATGGAAATCCAAATGCGTGTGTATAAATGAACGACCTGTATGTCATAATGAGATTTTTCATTACAGTGGTGATATACCAGTCTTTATTGATCTTCCTGCACCGAAGGGTTATGTTATACAGAGAGTTATTGAGGTAAGCTTTAATAAAGGGACGATTCATGTATGTAGTTCATTTGTTTCTTCCAGAAGGGCGAGCGATCTTCATGCGGGAGATTTGTGCGGCAGACTTTCGACAAAGATCTGGGCTGGTTAGTTGGGCTAATTGAAGCGGATTTGCGTCTTCATGGGATGAAAAAAGAAGGTTGGTTCGCACTGCATCAAGGATTTTGAACTCCTTTTATGAATTAGAGGCGAAGCGCTGGTAAACATTTCGAAATGTTGCTGTTCTAATGGCTCTGCGTAAAAATCAGATAAAGGTGTGGTCTGTTGTGAAAGGGGACAATAGTGACTAGGCATCGAAACGTTGTTCAGAGTGCGTGTTGTGTCCAGCTACAGAAGGACAGATTCGCTTAGTGTCTGCAGTCTTCTTTCGAAACGCTCCTTCGTCAGGAATGATCTAAGAATTCACTTACTGTATGGAATTACAGTCACTCAGGGGTGATTCAAACACCTTTATGACTTTCACATCTTTTTTCGTTCAGGAGTCTTCTTCTCCATAGCGTTAGTCCCACGCCGTTGAAGGGTCCGTCAGCCGTCTCCATTTCATTCTATCTACGGCATCTTCTGCCGTCACCTTGGCTTCGGCGAAGTCCTTCTTGATTACGTCCCGCCATCTCTTCTTTGTTGCTCTTCGTGGCCGCTTACTTCGAGTCTCGAACTCCATTGCTTCCCTTATCGGATGGCTCTGTGGTCTTCTTAGTACATGCCCGAACCATGGCGCTGCTCTCTCATCTTCAGTTGAACTGGGGCTGTTTTCATAGCCGTCCTGACGTCTTCATCTCTGACACGATCCAGCCACGTCCAGCCACAGGCCCATCTGAGCATTCTCATTTCAGCGGAACGGAGCTGTCCTTCATGGAATTTACTCGCGGGCCAACACTCGCTGCAGTAGAGCATCGTGGGCCTTACCACTGTCCGATAAGCTTTTCCTTTGAGGGTCCTAGAGCACCGACGGTCGCAGAGGATACCGGTTGGGATTGGGATTTTACGGCCTGGTCCACCCTACCGTCAACAGCTAGATCACTCCTAGGTAGCGGAAGTCCTAGACCTTTTCGATGGCTTCCCCGCGACCGTCGGCGATTGACCCCGTTCCCTCCTCGGAGCTGAGGAACTTGGTCTTCTTCACGTTCAGCCTGAGTCCATTCTCCGCCACTGCCCTCTGCCAGTTCTGGGTTTGTCTTAGAAATCTTCCTTGCTCTCCGCTATCAGAGCCATGCCGTCAGCGTAGAGGATGGTCTTCAGTGGTCCATCCATGAGGTCTTCTGTGATGACGTCCATCGTGAGCAGGAAGAGGAACGGGCTCAGAGCTTATTTCTGGTGTGCCCCAGCAGTGGCAACTATTTCTCCGGTATGGGCGTGTGGGGTGCGTACTGTTGTGATGGAGCCATGGTACATGCCCAGAGAGATCAGCTGTTCTCGAACTTCTCGTTTCCGGAGCGCTCTCCAGAGGGCTTGTCGAGGGAGACGGTCGAAGCCTTCTCCATATCGAGGAAGGCTAGGTAGCAGGGTCTACGCTTTTCTCGATACTTCTCCATAACTTGCCTAGCTATGAAGATGGTATCCGTTGTAGACCTTTCAGGCATGAAGCCGAACTGCTCCTGTGAGATTGGGACCAATTCTCTCAATCTTGAGTCGACAAGCCGCTCGTACAGTTCCATCGTAGAAGCAGTCGACCTGATCCCCCGGTAGTTGGAACACTCCATCGCGTCCCCCTTCTGCTTGAAAATTGGAACGATAGTACTCCTCCACGCATCTGGGATTCTTTCTTAAGCGGTGACAGTGTTAGTAATCGGGTGAGCCACTTTATCCCGTTTTCTCCGAGCGCTTTCCATGCCACGATCGGTACTCCATCCGGACCAGTTGCCTTCCCAACCTTCATCTTTTCCATTGCTCTACGCACCTCGTTCTCTGTCCAGTGATTGATGGGGCCAGCCGTTGTCTCTAATTGGGAGCTACTCTTACGGGCGAATTCTTCGTTGATGAGCCCTTCAAAGTATCCTTTCCACCTACGCCTAACCTCGCTAGGCTTCCTCAGGATTGCACCCTCGCTGTTCCTGACGGACTCTACTACCCAGATGTCCGATTTCTTCTGCTCTGCTGAGTTTCCCCCAGCGTCTCCTGCACATCACAGTATGATCTTCACAGCGTTGCTCCAAGTCTGCTGGATCGGCCCTTCGGGATTTGGAAGTCCAGCTTCCAGTACCCTCTCTTTGAGGTGTTCTCTTTCGAATTGGCGCAACTTCCACCACCGGATCCTCCGTTCCGTTCTTGTCCTTGATTTCTTAGGAAGATTGATGGCAATGTCTGCTAGAAGAGGTCTGTGCTGTGGAGCCAGATCTTCTCCGGGCAGTACCTTGATGCCCTTCACAGCATTGAGGGACGATCTTCCTACTAGCACATGATCTATTTCCGGTTCTTTCCCTCTACTGCTGTAGGTTACCTTCTGGGACTTTGCGGAGAAGGTGCTGCAGACTGCCAAGTCGTAGGCTATGGCCAAGGCAAGGGCCCTCTCTCCTTCTTCGTTTCTGACTCCTACACCTCTACCTCCATGTTCCCTTTCTAGTCCCCTCCTTTCACTGCCGACGTGGCCATTCAGATCACCTGCTATGGTGAGGAGTCCCCCTCCGGAACCGGTCGGATGGCCTCGTCAGAGCTCAGATCGAGTTCATCCTTTTCGTAGACGGGGCAGCGGCGTGAGGTGCGTACACTGATATTATTGTCCAGTACCCCTCCTTCGTCTACGGATCTCCTTCACTGAGGGTTCTCTCTCACTGAAGGATCCCAGCCGGTTAGTGACGAGGCTACGTAGGGCGTCCCCAGGTGGCGGATAGGGGAATTAATCGCCGACCAAAAGTCACCGGTACTTCCCAGAAACGCAGGTGGATTCAGGGGATGGACTCCTTGATTCTGCTGTGCTGAGTCGATATACCCTCTGTTCTTCGCAGGCGACCCACG